ATCAATCCTGGACATCAGTAATAAAAGATGATTGACGATATATAACCAAAATGTAGCCCAACTTATATTTACCACCCTTAATATTGTCCCCAGCAAACTTGGGCCTAGAAACCTGTGAAAATGATTAAGCAGTTGTTTCCCTTCCAGAAGAAAGCTTAAGTTCCTTTCAACACGTACGTTTACACCCACAGTTAACAAATATGTGGAACTTAAATGTGGGTGTAACTTGCTGATTGTCAATCCCGGCAGAGCAAAGATATGGCAACGATTGAAGAGAACCAATGGAGGAGCGAGATGGCAGAGCAGAGAGGATGGTGCACAATGACAGAGACACAGGATTTGTACATAAACCACAGAGCCGCTCCCTCACAATATATGGCAACTTCTGTATGTCGTTTCCAGCTCAGCCCTCCTCATGGTATCTTACTTACTCTCGGCCAACACTCCACAACTACACTATCAACGCTCTCTCAACGCCTCACGCATTACATACGTATGACAATGTACATCTATGTATTAGCAGCCATCATTATCTTATCAGTTAAGCGACAAAATCAGTCTGGTTCCGGCACATATTATCCAAAGTCTATGTGTTATTGCATAGAATAAGCAATACGCTATAAGACTCATGGAGAACTGTAGCTTAGCGGATAGCTTAGCGGAATTTAGCAAACTGGCCTCGCAAGCGAAATGACCTCGGTTGGGACAAAGGGAAAACTTTGGAAAGCTTCGTCACTCCACACACCTACCTGTGTTTCGGTCGCAGTCAGTGTGTGCCCGTTTGCTAGTGATTTGTTCGATCGCATTTCAGGGGTTAATAATTATTTTAAGTATGTGACTACTGATAAGAACATTGTGTTCACTCAATCCATGAATGTTAGATGGACAATAATGTGGGGAATTGGCTGTCACAGGCATACAATCTGTGAGGTGGTTGGTTTCGAGACATCCCGACGAATTGATAAGGCGCTGTATCAAATATTAGCAATATCATTATGATTGAATTGAACGCTGATGTTTGTCTGGTTTCCAGGACATTGTGGAGGAGACGCTGTGACACAGCTCCAATTTACTGCAACAGTGAATAAAGGAGAGGATATTTATCTGCAGTGTAATTACACAGCTACAAACAGCAATTATAAATATCTGTTCTGGTACCGTCACTATCGGAACAAAGCTCCAGAATATATCCTGAGGACAGACAACAAGAACAACGACCAGCAACATGCGGACATTGCCAAAGAACGTTTCTCAACGAAAGTATCCAAGGCGGAGAGAACCGTCCCATTAAATATATCCCAAGTGAGAGTGACAGACTCCGCGGGTATTACTGTGCACTATGCCCCACAGAGGCACAGCTCAGCAATTTCGCCCCACAAAGACTGCCATGTGGTTTCCTGTAGCTCAGTGTTCATAGCATATGACTCGAAGCGGGATCAACTGGGTTCGATTCCTGCAGTAAAAGAAGGAACGCTGTTGTTATTCGACGGACGGATCAATCTTCCAGGGTTAATAGATAATAATATGCAAGATAATAATATTAATGTTAAAATGGTCAGCTATTCCAGTTAGACAGTGACGTGTGCAATTGGCTGCTGCTTTTCGACCTTAAAATCGGCAGTCAATTGATTTACAGCACATTACTTAGAGCGCTTTTAAGCATCTCTTGATGCGACTCGGCAGTATATCATATGCAAGGTTTCTATTATTATGAAATAATAATAATAAACCTTGAATTTGATTTATCGCTTTTTCCGTCGGGAGGACGTACCAAAGCGCTTCACAGAACACACTCTAAAGTGAATTGAATGTATGTTTGTGGGCGAACGCGGCAGCCAATTGCACACTGCAATGTCCCACAAACAGTCGTACATTGAAAATGACCAATTTGTTAATGGTTTTGGTTTTCGAGGGATTATTATCAGGCGTGTGGAGTAAGGTAACTTGCCCAAGGTTTCGCCCTGCCTGGAATTGAGCTTAAGTCTCTCAGTTGCAAAGCGAGTGCTCTAACCACTGCGCGACAGGGTTCCAAATGCAAGGATATGCAAGGATTTCTATACTAAGAAATATGATCATGTTATTGTCACAGAAATAGCTTCAAATATTTTGGTTTCAGGGGAGACCTGCACGAGGAAGTTTCTTCCCCTGCTCCTTTTATAAGTAGGAAAAAATAGGAAACTATTATTTGCATTTACATAGCGCCATTCTTCATGGAAAGCTAAAACAAACCTAAAATATATTGCTAAATTCAGTCTCCAATTCTAACGTTCTGCAGCTGCAATCCTCCAGCAGGTGTCGCACTAAATACACATATAACATGAGTTTGCAGCTGACATAACTTGTCACTTGCCTCATCTACGTACCTTTCTGCAACTAACTTCCTTGGCAGCTATACCAGGTGCTTCCTTTTATATTTGACATAATTCCTTCATATGCACTGTTGCTGCTTGAGCTGAAATGTAAGAACCTCACATAAAACATGATAAGCACAAAACACAGTTAGCTCAAGAAACAATATTTGTGTAAATATTTATATTTATTTTCGTTCTCCAAAATACGCAGCCAACCTTTCTGGTATATGATTGCGGAAATAAACGTAATAGATTTTGTTAAGAGTAAAATAGTCATTTATTTGGTTTAATTTGAAAAAGAGATTAAAACTGACCCAGTTTCATTCAAATTAAGAATTCAAGTACTATGCTGGATGCACTGTGAGCTGCTGAAATGGGGACAGAACCAGGAACATTCAGCATCATAAGTGAAAGTTCCAGCAACAGAGTTAGGTTTTCACCTCAGGCTTGATGATAGATAGTAAACTTTTAATAGCTCGGCTGCAACGTACAAGACCAACCAAATCAATGCATTCATAACAATAATGAAAATATTCCTGAGCTTTACGTTTGATATAGCAACTTATCTTATAGTGGAGGCGTCTGAAAGCGCTTCACAGAATACACTTTAAAACAAATTGAGAGTTGGTGAAACGCGAATACTGATATCCTATCCCAGTAGAACTGTCCTCCAATCCACGGCAGATCAAATTCAAGATCCTGATAAGATAAAGTATCATCAGCAGAGTAACGTTGTCACCTCAGCCTTGATGACAGAATGTAAATCTTTATTCCTTTTCGCTCTGCTGCATGGCTCAAGCATTCATCAATTATTGAATGCATTAACCATAATAACAACATTTAAAATAAAAACAAAATTTCATTTGGTATCGGGCCCGATCACGTCTTGTAGACGTCTCAAAGCGCTTCAAATAATATATTGTAAAAGAAATAGTTAGTGGGTAAAACTTGCGTCCCACCCTAGCGCAAATCCGTTGCACCTACTCGCCAGAGGATCACGTTGAAGATCCTCTGGTTAGTGAGAAACGCCTACAATTGGAGGTAATAAAGCACTGAAACCGACAGATCAGCCGCTGCCACACAACTTGTCACTGAAGCAGCAACACAGCGATATACAAAGGAAGAGATTCCGTTATCTGTCCACACCTCAGCAGCCAACATGACAGCTCTCTGCCAGTTACTGATAGCAATCCTCACCAAAGCCAATAAGTATGTGTGGACATGCACAGTGCATGATGTTGACATCATAAAATTTCCGAAGCTAAATGGTTAGACATGTCGCCTCACCAGCGAGGAAACTCGAGTTTGATTGCCTCACGAATATGTTTCCCCAGCAGTGAGTAGGAAACACTTTGATAGTCGATTGCCAATCGCTTTCCTAGGTAAATCACTCAATAAATTATTAATCAATTACCAATAATATCGGTGTAGTACTGCTGAGTTCAATTGTCTGCTAAGTTTCGCTCAAAAATATAACTAATTTACTTTACACTATATTCTGTGGTTTCTTTGAGACGTCTGAACCGTGTGATAACGAGCAATATAAAATGGATGAAAGCAAATTTTAAGTGGCTCGGAAAAATGTGTTGTTATTGTTTTTGCAGAAGTTAGCGAGCAAGATGTTCTATCCCAATATCCTCGCGAGAAAACAGAAATTGAAGGGCAAGACGTGACACTACGCTGCAGTATTTCAAGATTGGATACTGTCTTCTGGTACAAGCATAATCCCGACGGAGCGCTTAAATACGTGCTCAGGATATTTACCTCTGTAAAGGTAAATAAATCTTCTGATCTACCTGAACGTTTCACTGCTGAGCTGATCAAGAAGAATAAAGTAATTAAGCTGCAGATACTCCGGGCTGTTGTGGGTGACATCGCTGTGTATTATTGTGCCCTGGAGCCCACACTGTTAAAGGAAGGTACATTCCCCATACAAAAACTCATCAGAAAGTCATGACTTCCGCTCACGTATTTGATTTGGTGCTTTCAGCAAACTGATGTGGTTATACAATGACAACAAGGAGAGTGGTGTAAACAGGCTGTGCTGTCTTGTTGTATATGGGATTAAGCAGTCGTTTTGCAAACTAGCGGACCCTGGTTCTATGGAAAAAAACGCTTTTTCCTGCCAGCAGACAGCGGCTGAACATAACAACAAAAGATAACTAATGTACCAGAATGTAGCCCAAAATATACATACCTCACCAAGTCTTGTCTCTTGCCTGACAGCACCCAGTAATCTGTTAAATTAAGCAAACACTATGCGTTTCTCCAGGGAGAAAGAGAAAATTCGTTTCCATAGGCACATTTACACGCGAAGATGGCATATATATGCGGAACTGATGTATGTGTTTTCGTGAACTGAAATATGGGTGTAACTTGGTGCAGACACACTGCTCAACAAGGACAAGTCACTGATGGAAGAGAACTATTGGATGAGCGAGATGGCGGAGCAGAGAAGCTGACGCACGATGACAGAGACACAAGGTTTGTACATAACCTTCAGACCTGCTCCCTCAGAGCATATGACAACTTCTTTATGTTGTTTCCTATTTAGCCCTCCTCACGGTACCTTACTTTCCTGCAGCCAACTTTCTCCAACTACACCATCAACGCTCTCTCAACGTCCCGTGACATTAAACACACATGGCAATGTATGTCTATGTGGTAGCAGTGATCATTACCTTGTCAGGTAAGCGACAAACTCGCTCTATTATCTGCGTCATGTGCATATTATCCAATGAATATATATTTTTGCATTACATAACCAATACGGTACACGACTCATGCATTCCTGCAGCAAACGTGCTGACTTGGGTTTGGTTCCCGGCTTGGACATAGCGGAACCTCAGGCAAGTTTCCTTCCTCCACACACGCACCACTGTTTACCTCGAGACATGTTGGGACCCGTTCGTTGGTCGATCGTCCGATCAGTTTTCGGTGTTAATAATCTCTTAACGCGTACCAGTAATAATAATGCTATCAGTCATTCCATGAACTTTTATAAGGAAAATGCTTTGCGCAATTTGCTGCCACGTGTCGACCACACAATACACATTCTCAGAATATTCTATGAAGCATTTGGAGATGCAATGATGTAGTATGGTGCTGTATGAAAAGCAATAATTTGTATTATGATTATTCTTATGGTATTGAACGCTGATATTGGTCTGGTTCCCAGGACATTGTGGAGGAGACGCTGTAACTCAGCTCCAATCTACTGTGACAGTGACTGAAGGGGAGGATGTTTACCTGATGTGCAATGCTACAGCTACAAGCGGCTACAATACGTATCTGTTCTGGTACCGTCACTTTCCCAACAAATCTCCAGAATATATCGTTAGCACAGACACCAACAACAGGATCAAGGACGGCGCGTACTTTGCAGAAGAACGTTTCTCAACGAATGTGTCTAAAGCGGAGCGAACCGTCCCATTAAATATATTGCAAGTGAGAGTTACAGACTCCGCGAGGTATTACTGTGCACTGAGACCCACAGAGGCACAGATCAGTGGTTCCGCACTACAAAAACTGCCTTGCGGCTAGAACACTCGCCTCACAAGCGAGAGACGTTGTTTCTATTGCCAGCAGAACGAATCATTGTGCAACTTTTCTTATTCCTCACACACGTCTCTGTTTACCTGCAGTCAGTTGGAAGCAGGTTGTTAATCGATTGGAGTATCGATATTCCAGGGACAATAATGCCTTCTGAATAATAGTGTTAATAATAAATTGGTCACTTCCTCCAATGAGACACCGATGTATACAATTTGCTGCCGTGCTTCACCCTCACAATATGCAGTCAATTCATTAACGGTATATTCTATGAAGCTCCGAGTGGCGTCTCGAAGATGTGATATGGCGCCATATCAAATGCAACTTTTATTATTATTGGTATTAGCTTTAGTCATATTATCATCCAAGTAATAAACAAAGATGTCTTGCTTTCTGGGGAGCGCTGCCACATGCAAGTGGGGCAGCAAGTGCTAGCAAAGAGACACGTCAAAGTAAGAGAATGTGAATAACATCGAAGAACAGAAAATATGACGAACGAGCAGAGAAATGAGACTAATGTGTAAAATTGCGGTGGGGAAGATAGCACCAAGGGAAGGCTAGATGGGCCCAAAACAATTATGCTGTAAAACGTTCCCAATTCTGAACGTGATGCAACTATAAGCCACCAGCAGATGGCGCACTAAACAAACATAGACAACACGGACTGCAACGCACATAACTTCTCACGTTTCTGTCTGTAACGAACTTCATTTACAGCAGTACCAGGTGCTTCCTGTTGCAGCTGACAGAGTTCATACATATACACTATTGCTGCTTCAACCGAAATTTGGAAATATTGACTAAAGTATTAACACGACGCTTAGGTTGATCAAGAAACAATTTATGTTTCACATATTCTATATTATTACGTTTTACCAAAGAGTAGCCGCTCTTAAATTGTTTTCTCTGCGGTTTAGCAATTCTCTCAAGAACGTTGTTACAGTATCGGCTTCTTTCACCCTTTCAGGCAATGCATTTAAAATCAGAACAACTCGCAGTGTGAAAAAAATATATCTCACCGTCTCACTGTTTATGCAGGCAACTACAATGAATGTGAATGATAAGCTATTTAACAAATTTATTATTACATAATGAAAAAAATCTTAGATATTTCATCACGAAACTGAAACATTCAAAAGCGACCGAAGTCGCTATGTAACATGTACTGGATTATATTCTGATGTTCTGGGCTGACACTCCAGAGCAGTCATTGTTCTATACAAATTGGAGGCAAAGTTGACAAACTCTGTTCTCGACGTTAAAACCTGAGAGAAGGTTTGAGGCGAATCGATGAAATGACAAGTCTTTATTTGATAAAAGCATTTCTCCAACACGAATAATGAAAACTATTGTAGGGGCATGTCTTATTCAACATTTTTACAGTAACGATAATAAAAGCAAAGGTTGCATTTTATACACTGCCAAATTACGTCATTGAGACGTGTCACAGCTCTTCACAGACGACGCCTAAAAGTGGAGTCGCTATATTGTTTGATGCCAATTGTGTACAGCAGTGTCCCACAAAACCTTGGGTTTGAGTTGCCTTAATTTTTGGCACTGTGGGTGTGGGTTAATCTTCGGGTGTGGAATGGAGGAGGTGAAGTGGGGGGAGGTGTGTGGGGCGTTAGATTGTATTGTGCGGATCAAACGTGGTAGACAACTGTGCAAAACAGTGGCCCACACAATATTGTGGATTGAGTGACCTGATTGTGTGGCACTGTGTGTGTTTTTGTGCGGGGAGTGGAGGGGGCGGGGCGCTGTGTGGGCGGAGAGCTGTAAAGTGTCGGCAGAGATTGGGCTCAGTGCGGGCGGGTCAGTGACTGAGAAACGCAGCTCTGTGGGCGTGGCAGCGGCTCTGTGGGCGGGGCTGTTTGTGGGCAGGGCTGTAACTGGATGGCTACTGAGCCCAAAAGAACCATCAATCCACATTGGGGGGTGAATGTCAGACACGGCATCATGATGCTCAAGTGGGAAACATGTGCTGTGCTTTCAATCACTCTCAGCTTACTTTGATACCGTCAGTATCTTTTGTACATCTTCTTTTCTTAATATCTTGTTATACCTTTTACAGCAATATAACATTAATAATCATTTGATTAGATGTTGCGCCTTTCCATATAATAATAATAATAATAATGCTTGCATTTGATATAGCGCTTTTCACGTCGGGAGGACGTCCCAAAGCGCTTCACAGAACACACTGTAAAATGAATTGACTGTATATTTGTGGGCGAACACGGCAGCCAATTGCGCACAGCAATGTCCCACAAACAGTCGTGATTGAAAATGACCAATTTATTATTGTTTTGGTTTTGGAGGGATTATTATTAGGCGTGTGGAGTAAGGAAACTTATTATTAGGTGAGTTGAGTATGGAAACTTGCCCAAGGTTTCGCCCTGCCTGGAATTGAACTGAGGTCTGTCGCTTGCAAGGCGAGTGCTCTAACCATTGAGCTACATGACTCCATATATTCGAGACGATTGTCAGCAGCAGTTTTACCAAATAGTCAGGGATTCAGTGACCATATTTTTATCTATTTTATAATCGATTTCTTATTGAAGGGCACATTACCCTTGGAAAAGGGAGATGCCAGTCGAATAACAATCTTGTCCCTATTTGCTGCTTGGTAAACATTGGCGTATGGAGCAATTGCCTAAGGTTTCGCTCTGGCCTGGTATAGAACCCAGATATTTTTGCTTGTGAGGCGAACGCTCTGACCAAAACATAACTGGACTCCACATTAGACCAAATTGCTGGTCAAAAATATGTTCTTTTAAATCTCAGGAAACAGCCAGCAAGACACTTGGAAACAACCGATTGTTGATATATCAGTTGAAGAGGGAAAATATGTGAAATTATCGTGCACCTTAAAGGAAATCAATGATGCCACCGCTCTCTACTGTTACAGACAAGCTTCCAGGATCGCTGCTGTCGACATACTTTACTCTTTTGCAGGGAAGGATTGCAGGAGCTCTGACTTCCCAGATCGATTCTCCTCCAAAGTCAATAAAACGAGTGAAGATTTCGAATTGAGAATTGTCACGGTCCTGATCAGGGACATTGCCGTATGTTACTGCGGCAAAGAGCCCACACTGCTGCCGTGCTATGGCGGCTCTGTACAACATCTCCAACTGGTTGATTTTCTGATACACCGCGAGCGGTCGTCATTGCATCGAACAAAAATAAAACAGCGTTTTGTACCTGTTTAAGTATGGAGAAATACTGTCAAGCAGTTGGGAGACATATTGGGAAATATTGATTGATTGTCTGTCATGCAACCGGCGCTTAAAGCATGATCATTGATTTAACTTACGGTGAAACATATCGAGAGTCCTGTTGTGTATTGATTAGTGCATTCGCTTCGCAAGCGAGAAGACCTGGTATCGATTCCCGGGCGGGTTGAAACGTTGGGCAAATTTCTTTGCTTCACACATACGGCTGTGTATACACAGCAGAAGTACGAATACGGTTGTTAGTCGATTGGCTGATTGCTTGCCATCGAGTAATGATCCGTTAAAACATAATAATAACAACATTTTGGTCTCTCAAACCATAAATATTTGTATGCAGCATTATGCCCCCAAAACACAGTGACTACACTGTATAACGTAGACTGTGAAGCGCTTGCACACGTCTCAATGGCATGATAACGCGCTGTATCATACGCAAACATTAACATTATTATTAATATTATTATTTTACGAACGTATGACTACTGGACACATTTTCAATCGGTTTCAGATACAGGCCTATAGGCAGATGACTTTTATGGTGGTGATAATCCCTGAAAAATATGTATAATCTGTGATAATATGGACACTTTAACCAGGGGTTTTATGGGTCAATTATGTGCGCTTTGGCTGCTGCGCTTTGCCCAGAGCATACATTTAATCCATAATACATGAAGCTCGCGGACATCTCCAAGATGTTATCAGTCACTATATAAATTGTAAGCGGTTCCATCATCACTAATATTACTGTTTTGAAGGCTGTTTTGTGTCTGGTTTGCAGGACATTGTGCAGGAGACTCAACGACATGGCTTTAATCTGCCGAGACAGTGAATGAAGGGAAGGATGTTTATCTGCAATGTAATTACACAGCTACAACTCCAGCGATCCCGATCTTTGCTGGTACCGTCAATGTTCCACCAAAGCTACAGAGTATATCCTGAGCACGAGATCAATAAACATGCAGACTACCATGTGGATTCCTGTAGCTCAGTAGTTGGAGCACTCGCCCCGCAAGAGAGATCAAGGAGAGATCTGGGTTTGATTCCTGGCAGTAAAAGTAGGAATTCTGGTTTTAGTCGATTAGCGGATTTAATAATTACGGTTTAATCATTCATTTAAGATAATAATATTAAAAATCTATCAGTCGCTTTATCCAATGGGACACTGATGTGTGAAATTGGCTGCTTTTTACCCACAGAATATGCAGATAATTCGATGAGAGTATATCCTCTGAAGCGCTTTGAGTCGTCTCGATGATGTGATTTGGCACTATAATCAAATGCAAGGATTATTATGAAATACGATGTCGCTGTTATCACAGAAATAACTTCAAATATCTTACTTTCTGGGCGAAACTGCCCATGCACTTCTTTTCCTCTGGTTTTTAATCAGTAATAAAACATAAATAACAACTTATATTATTACTTAGCGCCATTCAAAACTGGATAATTAAGGCGGGCAGAGAATAATTTGCCGTCAAGTGTCTCCAATTGCACACTGGATATAACCACACTCCACCAGCAGATGGTGTACTAATCACATATAAAACACGAGTTGCACCTTATAAAACATGTCAGGTTCCTTTCTGTAACTAACTTCCTTGGTAGGAATAACAGATGCTTCCTGTAACGGTTGACATTGGTTCCCTCATACAAACTATTGCTGCTTCAACTGAAATGTACAAATGTTTCTCCAAAGCATTAACACAAGGCTGAGTTTGCTCAAGAAAAAAATTCTGTTGCACTTTTTCTATTTTATTG